CCACACCTCCAACCCTTTCCCTCACGCGCTCCCTTCATCATAGCCCCACCCCAAAAAAAAAAAAACAAAAGGTAATATCAATTTTTTTTTTATATAAAAAGGCTTGGGGCGCGGAAATGTGGGGAAAAAGTTGCGCACCGTTATTTGTGTGGGGGGGGGGGGGGGGGGGGGGGGGACTCCCACATATAAGTGACGGGGGTGATTGTTTTCTCGCTTTGGGATGTAAATTGCAGATTTTGGTCTCACGTAGGGTGTTTGGGATTGAAAGTCATTCAATGAGGGGACACAAATGGCTTTTACTGTAGGTACAATCCCACGCAGAGATGTTTTCTTAGCGGGCAGCTAACCCAACTTAATCCCATTTAATATGTCGCGCTCCTCGAATGTGCGAAAATTTACTTGCCGTGTATTAGATTTCAGTATACATTCAGTGTTAATCTTCAGTTTGCGCCAGAATAAATTAGTTTGCGCGCAAGGGGCTTCTAAAAAATTGCAAGATTAGTCCCACTTCGAGACCACCTTCTGGAGATACGCCGGCTTGGTAGCTGGAATACATTGCCGAGGCGAAGATCTGGCGTCTTTTTCTCCTCGTCGTTTTTACTCCATGACATTTGCTTTAATTGTAGTGAGAATGCAGTGCATATCGGTGGATTTTACTTCGTGCGACTTCGTGCGGCTTGCTACTTATGAAAGAAGAGCGGCGGATTTCATGTCTTTGTTCGCCTTTAATTTGTTGTCAAATGCGAAGTAAAAGAACCGACTACTGTAAGGTAAGAATTGAAGTTTTAAATTTGTTTCTTGGCGAAAAATAGTGCATAGAACTCGTGAAACCCGTGAGTATTACCTCTGTTATACCTAATGTCATGCGATGACTTCTCGCTTTTTCGATGGGTTATACGACGGATACAAACAATAGCTTCTTTTGCAAGGTTAAGTATGATTTAGTCTGATCGAGGCCATTTGAGGACGATTTATCGTTATATGCTTCATTACTTGGCTTATTTCAGCTTCTAGTCCAGCCATATTAGAGGCTGACCCGGAACAAATTCCCACAAAAGCTTTCTCTTCGAAAATATGTCAGAACTGATGGGTTATTGAACATATCAAACGTCCCCAAAAATCCGAGCACGGCAACATGTTGAAATTTAGCAAAACACTGAGGAGCCCTCTCCATAAAACATGGAAACGAGGCTGGAACCGGAAGTGCAGTTTTACTAGCCTTGTATTATTATAGCATAAATAAAATCATTAAAATATGATAGAAAACACGCTGCTTCTTGTATTTATTCACGTTTCATCATGACATGCCTAAAGAAAAAGGGAAAATTTACCTCCAGTGTAAGCTTTTATCGGATGTGTTTGATCGCGGCATGCAGCCAAAGAGAGAGTACCACAGACACGTACAAATCGTTCAGTTCACAATGAAAAGATCGACAACTAACTCATTTCAGACCTTCTAACAGATTTAGGACAGTTAAGTATTTTGTTTTCTTCATTCTCTAGCAAAAATAAATAAATAAATAAATAAATTTGCCGTCACCCAGTCTGACAGCAAAGTTGATTTGATATTTGGCCTTGCAACAAAATTAATTTGGCCCGGAATAACAGCATTTTTCTTCCAAGAGAATGTTTCACCTACTCTTCCTCTTCATCGTCACTGTCACCAAGAACGGCACTGATATTTGTCCCTGCGGTTCCACGACACTGTCCATATGTTGAAGAACAGTCTAATCCATGCTTACGGCAGCTACACCTTACAGAGGCACAGCCAGTTGCACAGTTGCAGCGGATCATCTTGAGCAAGGACTCTGGAGAAGTGGTCAGTGGTCACGGGAATCACCTGGTTACCGCTAAGCTTCCAGCCCCAGTCTTCAAACTGCATCCTGTCACTAAGACAATGCCACTGTTTGACCTGTAGAAAGACCCTAAGGCTGTGGTATCTGGCTGCTGAGAACGTCGGGGGGAGGTTCTGGGGCTGTCTCTGTTGACCTCCGCGGCTTTTCCAGTACCGTAAGGGCGAGACGTCGTATCACAACCCAGAATTGCATGCAGAAAAAACATGTTGCGGCAAACTGCCGGGCCAAGCTCTGCCTTCACTTTCAGATAAATGGCGCTGTAACATGGTAATGAACCGCTTCTTTTTCTCTATGTTGGCAGGTAATGCATCTTTAATTTCTTAGCCGTCACTTTCATCCCATCTTGGAAGGTTACGGTTGCACTCCCGTTTCCTGCTGAGCGCCTCTAGTGGGTCATACTCTTGGTCGAGGGTCCACTGCTATTGCCGTCAAACACTACTGTTGCTTGGTTACCGTACCTTCATAGAACGTACTGGCAGTACAGGCGGCACACTTCCTGGTATGTTACTTGCTGTGGCCATGAAACCCGGTGAAGGAGAGCACCTCCATCGAGGACGTACTGGAGGCTGCCTTTTGGGCCTGACTTTCGATCAGCTGATAGCTGCGCCCAAACAGTGTCAGCAAGGGTTGCCTTCTGTGGCGCGCGCAAGGTAAATGGGGTGTCGAACAGCGCAGCCAGATAACTGCAGATTTCGTGTTTGAAGATCTCTCCCAAGTCATCAAAGTTCATGCAGGCAATTACTAGCCGTTGGAATAGTAGTTGCGGATCCACATGCTCTCTTTCACCCTCAACTCGTATGGAAGATTTTGTACCCAGTGTAACTGCTTGTTCCTTGCGCTTAAAAATGTAGGAAATCGCCGACTTTCCCATCATGGACGACAAAATCGTCTCTCTTTCAATTAAAAGAGGAAATGCATTTTCTTTCCTTGCTAAAACTTTATTTCTTGTTTAACTACGACTTTAAAAACTTTTCCTCTCTCGCAAAGATCTTATTATATTATTGTAAAATTTTAGCAGTGCGCGTTTATATTTTACCGTACAAAACTGTGCATTTCCAGCCCCACTCCCCGATAAAAATCATTCCAGAGGTATTTATAGTCTTTTATTATTAAACACAAGGATTTAAATAACTGAGTTTCATCTTTATCATGAATTATAGTTATGATTTGTGCGGTATTTTACTAGGCATTCGGACGACTTATGATCAGCCTCGTTTCCATGCAGTAAAAGATGCAGCGGGCAACAGCTCCAACAAAACCCAGTTTTTCGACATGTTTCCATGCTAGGATTTTCGGGGACTTTTGATATGTTGTTAAGCAATAAATTCTGAGTCTAAAACCGTTGAGATTTCTTTTGTGGGAATTTGTCCCGGATGACCATATTTTCCACGTATTAAAAATGACTGGCCTATACGTGCCAGGAGTTGTCTGGGTGCTATAATTATGCTCAGATGATTTCTTGCACATTTGTACTGAAACTCATGAAAGCAAAACTTCTTTTACCCTAGCAAAAAACTCTTCTTTTATGGAGAAACTTTTAACGTCTTTCGGGGCCCAATATGGTGTAACATTTTTAGGGAAAAAAAGGTTGATTTTTGGCGAAACGGACGGGTAGCTTTTTTCTTTGAATAGAGCGCGAGCCAAACACGGGCTTCAAGCTCCGTGAGTACAGTGTAACCCAGTGATTCTGTAGGTAGAGCTAACAAACATAGGCTGCACTTAAGGTGGAGCATCAATGAGTGCAGTGTAACCCAGTGATTTGTTAATTAGGTAGAACTAACAAACATAAACTGCACTTAAGGTGGCGCACCCATAAGTGTAGTGTAACCCAGTGATTCTGTGGGTAGAGCTCACAAATATAGGCTGCACTTAAGGTGGCGCTCCCATAAGTGTTGTGTAACCCAGTGATTCTGTAGGTAGACCCGCTAACAAACATTGGCTTCACTTAAGGTGGCGCACCCATGAGTGCAGTCCGGAGGCTCCTGGTGCATTGTATGTAACCGAGTGTTCTTTAGGCAGAGCTTACTATATAGGTGTACATAGCAACACGTTGTTCATAAAGCGTTGTGATGCTACAACTTGCATAGCACCTCGACTATTTCTTTATCGCTAGAAACATTGTTTTAACGCACACTATAGATAGCCAGAGGAAGTCTGTTGTCTAAAACCATTTACGCACATCACAGAGGTAAGGTAAGGTAACGGGTAACGTTATTTATACATGGTGTTTGGTTCAGGTACTAAAATAATAATAATAAAAAGCATAGTTGATAAGGAAGCCGTGTGAAAATGTTACATATCTCTAAATTAAGGCTTTTTAATTTTTCTTGAAAAACATAAAGGGATGTCAATTGCCGCACCTCCACACCCAAGCTGTTCCAAAACACATTTCCGCCATGACAGATCCGAGAAAGAGGCTTCTTTTATAAAATTCGGTACGGGTTTTGGAACAGCGAGCTTGTATTTATTCAGGGGCACCCAACGACTGTTTTCTCTGAAATATCTGAATTTTCTATAGCTTGAGGAAGGATAGAAATTTCTACATGACCGTTCCAGTTGTGTACAATTTTCGAAGCTTATCCAATAAAATCACCACGACTCTCCCAAGATGCCGTCTTGGCGGTTTTTTGGTGATTTTATTTATTTTTTCGATCCTGTTTTGTTTTATATCTTTATTTTCGCAGCTTTATTCGCAGCGAGCGATAAAATTTATTCGTTGAAAGGAATATTGTTACTTTGGTCAGCAAGTCCTTCTGTTTGCGATATAAACCATTGACAGCTTTGGAAGAAACTGAAGGTATCCTTATATTGCGCCTCGCGTTTTCGCAAAACGACGGCGGGAGGGATAACATTTTTTTCCAACTAGAGTCATTATAGAGGCAAATAATTTTAAATTATCTCGTTTCCCAAAGTGCGTGCTGCTGAGAACCAGTCGGCAGTAAATAAGCACTAGCTTCATAGTTATGGCGAAACTTGAGACGCATTTATTACAACTTGATGACAAGTATAGACCGGCAATCACATCTGTATAGAGGAAATTAAAAATCAAATCCGTGTCATAAAAAAAGGATTATAACGCATCGCTCGGATACTGCCTGAGGAGCTCCAAAACTCCCATACAATTTACTGTAACAACGTTACCATAAATTGTATGGGACTCTCCAGAATACTTACAGTTTAGGCGATTTGTGTCCCCTCATGTATTTGCCCACTCTTGTATCGCTTAGGATTGTGCATAAAGAAATTTACAAAAAATGCCCTGACATTGACCACACAGAAATCTCCCTTAGCTGTCAGTTTAAAGGGACAGTGTCCAGATTATGCACACGCGCGTGCGTCATCTGTTTTTTCTTCAAAAGACAATACAACTGTCATATTGATTTGACAAGATTTCCTTCCGGACCGCACCACCGACGGAGGTTTGTTGTTTACATTCTAAAGTAATATTTTAGACTTTTGAAAACGACTTTCGTCTTATTTAAAATTTGGCTCGCGGCACGAAGACTCATCGTGATTTTATCGCTAGCAGGGCCGCCTCGCGACCCAAAAATCTCTTTTCGCTCGCTTTAAAAACAGCTTTCCTAATGTGAAACTCGTGTCAGAGGTCAGTTGTTCCAAATCCAGTAATATTTGCCTGATTTGCTCGCGTTCTAGCCTGAAACGTTTGAAAGAAAGAAATAAAAATGCAATCTCAACGCTGTGAATCATCGCAAAGGTTAGTCAAAAATTATATTATGATTTCATGGCACCAGTTTTTCTAAACATGTAACGCCTGTTTGTTTGATTTTGTCGGCCGTAGGGAGGATCAGTTAAAAGTTTACTAACGCATTGTTGCAAAACATTCTGCTTCACGAAGCTTAATTCCACAAGATCTCCTCAGTCACAACATATCATTTGAGGTCTGGGCGCCTTAGCTAAAATGCTTGGGAGCCCGAAGGGCTACCTGAAATTTTCCTCAGAGCATGACAGCCTTGACTAGTGTATTTGTAACTTGTAATTTGAAAGTTGATTAAAGTGCTTTAAAAAATGTAGTTTCAAAAAAGATGTAAATACGACAATATTTTTAAATATTAAAATATTGAGATTATAAATAACAATATTTAATATTGACATTATAAATGAAATATTTGTTGTAACTATCATCAATATTTAAGAGAAATTTATACGGAATTAAGGATTTTTCGCCTTTTCCCTTCTATTCTCATGGAGGCTATCACGTGTGCTAGCATTCCAGTGATTTCGGTTTCCGAGGCAACGAATCTGTAACAGAACCAGAACTGGACAAAAATTCGCTTAGTTCACAGACTCATATTAGCTTTTATTTCAAATAAAAATTTTTAATAAAGTGATTGTAAGCATCAGTCACAAGATCAATAAAGTCATACTTAGCATTCGTTCATCTCAGTTTAGCAGGGAAGAAGACGTGCCTTTGTTCACCCAACTTTTTCCCATGGTGTTCCAGTAGCCAGAAAGCGTTTTGTTTTACCGGTTCCCACGCTTTCACTGCGCCATATGATATTTCCATGTGACACTTCACAGGGTCGTTGTCGGGTCATCTGCTTTTTTAAAAACTAATTTTTTAAAAAAATTTCACAAAACCAAGAGCTAGACTTTAAGCGAAACGTTCTCAATGTCTAAATTTAGACGTGGATATACCCAGACTGTCAATCGACATTATTTCATTCTGTTGCTAGAAATGCAACTTCATCGAAACTGCCGAACACAAACAGTATACACATTATTAGCCCCGGGTACCTTAGGAGAGCTTGCTGGAAGGCTAACGAAGTACATAAGACAATCCAGACATCAGCATAGCTTCTGTGCTCTTGTTCCGCAACACCAGCTGGCGCAAGAGTTCCGAAATCATAACAAACTTTAATTTGCACGCGCTTTCTGCATGGAGATCGAAGAAATAGTTTTCTTCTATGTTCACTTTTGTCAAGAACTGCAGAAGATATCCGAATTCACTGTCATTTAGACGGCTGCTCTTGAAAATTATTTTCGTTCACATAATCTAGAGCTGTTTTCAGCTGTCGAGCGACGTAAGGTCTAAGAATCCTGATGAATTTTTACATGTAATTGTGTTTTTCGCTATAATGTTTTCACGATTTTTTCATAATTTCATTCAGTCCCTTACCGTTGACACAAATGTGATAGAGTCCACACAAAGAAGGTGAGTAACTCATTTGCACATCACAGCCAACACTATAAATCGCAGATATCCTTCGGGTAACTCCGAGTTAAAAAGGTACTTTGACTGATGAATATGTGTGCAGATTTTTCGGTATACGCCAGTTTTACAATGATTTATGGAAACGATGTCAGGAACTTAAGCAAGTTACCGCCCAAAACAAGTTTGCTCAATAAATCTTTGACTGTAGTTGGGAAAGAAGATTAGTTCTTACTACTGCACGCATTTCTTTCTCGAAACTGTTCGCAAGGTTAAATCTATATTCCTTTGATTTGTTTTAGTGCAAACCACACAAGGCTGATGAAGTGGAAGAAACACCTAATGGTGTCATGCATCTTAAGACCGCCTCTCTTTATACTGCTGTTTCTTCCACAAGCATCCTCTAACGACGGATATGGAAAAAAAAAAGATGGCGACGTTATAGTTGGTGGTCTACTCAACATTCACATTTCTGGCACTAGTGATCAATGCACTGAGATTTCCACCACTGGGCTGGGATACGCAGAGGCTACGATCTTCGCTATTGAGAAAATTAACAAGAATTCCAGTATTTTACCGAACGTGACTATCGGCTACGATTTACGAGACTACTGTTTTAGCAATGCTCGAGCCATGAAAATAGCCTATGACTTCATGTGTGATGGCGATCCAGTACATATGTCTAACCAAAACATCAGCAC